ACGTAATGCCATTCCCGAGGCGCCAACGCGTCGCGGTGAGGAGGACGGACGCTGTGCACGACGACCGCGTTTCACTGTGCCACCGGCTTGGTCCGGGACATCGGATGGACTGTCGTCCGAGGAGAGTGAGAAAGTGTACGGTATTGTGTCGATATTTCGTAGTGGCGGTTTAACCACACGTCCACTTGACGTTCGATGTAGCAATTCTGAATGTGTGCTGACCTCGACGGATGTTTGGTAATCTGAAATGGACCAAATTCGTGGAAGGTGAATAAACGTTTTTTTTTTAATAATAAAACGTACCCTGGGTAGATTTCTACATTTAAAATAATTATTAGACATTGATGTCCAATCGATTTCGACCACGAAACAGCTCAATGAATGCAATTACGCACACCGTTTCCACAAGAACATGCGACAGTTAAAGAGAGGAGCGAAGTGCTAAACAAATGACAACACGATCAAACAGGTTGAATTTAACCAAAACTCAATACTGTACAGGCAACGTGAATGCTTTCTAATAAGAGAATCTTCTTCTGATTATAACAGACAACTTTAATCTATACGCTTCTCGGGTGCAGCCTAATTGAGCCTTGTTGCTCCTTTCTATTATAAACCCTTGTGTGTGTGATGATCTACAGACGGGGTAAACCCTATAGTCGCGAAGATCTGCTGCTTGGTGATGAATATCGGCAACATAAGCCCCACATGACTTGGAACGGTGAACCATATAAGGCCCCGCTAGTTTAAGTATGGTATTGAACCGGACGACAGCAAAGCTGTCTACTACCAAAGTCGAGTGTTGGTTGCAGTGTTTGAACCGCGAACCATTGGGTTCAAAGCACGCCGGTGCCAGCGATTAAACCACTACCACAAGCACCCTTGGAATGCATGTGCCACAGCAAAATCATAACAATCAAACCCATCAGAAATGGCGATTATCTGTCGCGAGGAAACATGTCGCCGAGACATGAACTATATAAAACGAGATCTGCCACGATGAAGTTCTTGATTCACAAGAGCAAACTGATTCAAATAGCTGTCAAACTATGGCCACTGTTAGTCTGATTTGTTACAATCCGCGAGAATCTAGACAGTGTTAGGACCGCTTGGTGGAACGATCCAGTAGGCTGTGTTTGAGTGATTAGTACCAATATGAGCCAAGGTCGGCATTCAGGATGAACGGTTTTCCTCTTGACATTATGGAACAAAAAACATTCAATTACTGGGGAATATTGCATGATTTTAAAACCGGAATCCAAAAAACAGATACTCATGACGAGGAAATCTGTGCAAACTAAATGGTAGTAGAAATACAGGGCAGGAATTCACGATTGAGTAGTCATAAGAATATAAAATAGTAAACAAGCTCGTTTTCTGTGCTACATCCACTGGCTAAAGACAGCACAATTCATCATAGATTAAACAGGCGGTAAGAGGAGACATATATCTGCGAAGGAAATTAGAGTTTGAAAAGAGAGATGACGGACTCGTGATAATTGATGTTTATTAGTGTGTATGTCTGTGTGCGTGGAAAGTAGCAGACTGAGTGTGTGCGGGGTGACGGAAATTACGAACTGAGTCTAATCACACAGTCAATGTGCTTGAGGCTTTCCGCCTTCTATATACGGTCAACGGTAGGTTATCCAAAGAGGTCAAGTTCATAATCTTGTCAATTAGCCGAGGCAATCACCATGTGTCTTCACACCCCCTTACTGTATTAAGCCAGTTGATGTAGTATTGAAAACGAGCTTGTTCACTATTTTGTGTTCTCATGAGTCTGGAATATGTCCGATATTTTGGTCATTGAGACGTCCATAAAAGCAGGCTGATTTAAGCACCTACGAGTAGCAGGAACCGCGTCCAGTCTAGCTGATTAGAACGGAACCAAAATACGTATTTTGACAAAGAGAAACCAATAGTGTGAAATTATCAAACGGTTATCTGGCGAAGACTATTACAACACCAGTAATTGAAAAGTTGAGCAAATAGATCGTGATACAGCCGTAGAATTAGGTCTTCGAAACGGACTACTATACAAATGTTCTATAAAACCAGCTAAAACGAAAAATATCAGAAATCCATGTGAATGGATGACACGAAATTCAAAAACGGGTCAGGGAGGAATTTGTATACACTCACAAATATCACGTGTTGGATGGCCACGAGTAACAGTTCGGGGACGTTTGTACAATGGGGGTCCACGCACTCGGGATCGATTGGTTAGACGTGAACGCGTACGAAAATAGGACGAACGTTCGCGGGATTTGTGCCATTGAGGGACCTGAGGTCTATCGGGTTCGTTTGGTTCTGAGTCCCGAGCGACTGATAACAGTAGTCCGTGCCGTCTGAGGGAACTGACTATCATCCGTTCAATCCAGTCTTCCAACCACCGTGTGTCCCCATAGACCACGGTTTCCGGATCATCATTATAGAGCTTCGAATTGCGTACAATTCGGTATAGATCACGGATAAAAGCGTGTGGACAAGCATAGAATGAGCGTCGACGGCGACTAACACCCGAACCAGAGCGTGACCGCAGCTCACGATTGCGAGGATGTGCCGTGTCCAGGGAAGTGCGTAGTCGCTTTTGTATAGTGGACAAATCCATGGGCACAGAAACAATATCCCGATAGTCTGGATACAATTTGGTATCGATCGGTTCACGGAAAAACATGCTCCGATCCTGTGAGCACAACCGTTTCATAAGGGTCATACAACGTGGGACCCATTGGCTGGGTAGAAATGAACAAGCACAAGGCTCTGTACCATCCGGTTCCAGCGGGTCCTCGCTCTCCTCATCCCCGTCCGGTAGACTACATGTTTTAGTCTCAGATGAACTATCGGTACGAGAACGGGATGGTCGTTTGCGTTGACTTCGACGCACACGTCGGGTGGAAGTACTGTACACGCGGGTCTCGCAAGGTGAAGACAGGTGGTCGTCATTCGCGTTAGTTTCGACACGACGTTGCGGTGTGATCTGGGAACGTTCCGTCTCTTGGCCTGGTGACTTGGAACGTGAGTGAGAGCGTCGAGCAGATGATCCAGAAGGGATTTGAGTGGACTGTGGCTCACTGGAGAGCAAACGATCGTACTCCTTGGAGATGTGGCACTAAAACAGTCAAAGAGAGCCATAACGGTGACTGAACCATGAATCGAGTCAGAGAGGAACACACACTTTACCACGATTCGAATTCTGAAGGAAACTATCACATTTTGTGTGAAATAGTTAAAAATATATTTGGGAGGTGAAATACACGATAGCTTGAACGTATCAACGCTACGAGAATCAGTTCAAATTGAGTGGCGCGAGAAAATTCCGATAACGTTCAAAAACCAATGAAATTTAAACCGGTCATCATATTCGTGAAAAAAAGTGTCGAAACAAGCAGCGAGCCAGAAAAAGAAAAGTATTTTGTGGCTCTAGGCGCGTCCCTTACATATAGCGACGATTTTTGTCCCCATTCAGAATTACGCACTCACATTTTGGCTATCCGGATTGGTTATTAAGGACGCTGTGCTGCTCTTCAACCACGATAGTACTAT